ACCACCACAGCCTGTCTAGTTTGAATGTTTATTCTACTCTTTTACAGGTTTTTATGTGACTCAATCTTAGTTCAACAGCAAATTTAATTCAGAATAAACTGTTACATGATTGAAACAATCCTGCATATGCAGGTAGCCAATAAGAACAAAACCAAAAATAATTTTAATTTTTTTTTAATTTTTTTATGTTGAATCTTAATATAATAAGGAAATCTCACCCTCGTGGATCTTGCGTCTTCTGAGATATCAAGTGAAAAACATCATCGTAAATCTAAAGTTCTATTAAATATGTTGCCTAATGTCAATACAATCATATTCTTACACTCATATTCTATACTTTGACCAGTACTAAACAATGCTGTAAACTCAAAGTATTGTTTCTATATTAAGTAGGGATGGGAAAAAAAGGCTTTTACTTTTTGGGAACTTTCACATTTGCACTGCACAATTTGCCTGCAGACATATTTTTTAATGTTATTGTGAAAGATCCCACAGGAAGCAAAAGGTACTGATTTTTACATGTTGCTGCTTCTGGACAGGAAGTTCCACCCATAACTAATGATAAACACTTCTTTTACACAGTTACATTTCCGCTTGAGGGGAGTAAAGGTATTAAATTGTCACTTTGTTGAAATTATAGCAGTGCCAGATTTTTCTTTTTTTTTAACCAACTTTGGCCCAGATTTCATATTTCTAGATAAGCTTCTCAAATTATTTCATATTTTGGGATAAACTTTTAAAAATATATTTTTTTTTAAAGATTAACATATTAAAAAATATATCATATAAAATATTTATCAATATATAAAAAAAAATTTAAAATATTTTTCAAAATATTAACAGGTTAACAGGATGTGTACTAAAATGAGAAATGTTTAGAACTCAAAGTGAGCTTCAAATTTTAAACATTGTACTGGGTTCTAAAGGTATTTTAAAATAAATAATTTGTGTCTAATATAGTTTCGAGGGAGCTTTGTAACTTCTTTTCAAATATAAATGTTTTTTTTTTTTTTTTTAAATAAAGCATCTATTTACCTGTATTCCAGAGACATTACTAGCTTCATCGCAACACTTCACCACACCCTATGTGATGTAACAAGTCAGATGACATGGGTCCAATCAAATGCTTCTGATTCAGAAGCATTGCGGATCCTAGGTGCATGTGCATCTCTCTTAGCAATTAGCCAATGAAAATCATTTCATAGAAGCATGAGAAGCCGTGAACGCTTTCATAGAAGCATGAGAAGCAGTGAACGTGACGATGCGTGGTGTGCACATTCACGAGCGGTGAGCTGATTGTCAGTGCAGCTCACCACTCATTTTTCCTGCGGTTATATAGAGTCTCCATATACACAATTTGGGCCTCATTTCCCATTACCTGAAACTTTAGCTTTGGGTGAAAATATAGCTGAACTAGAAAAACTCTCCAGTTTTCCAGTTCAACTACTTTGGTCTTAAATCTGAATTTCACTTTGAATTAAAATTGACTTCTTGACAATTCTCACTTTAGTCAATATCACTTACAAAGTTTAGCTAAAAATATAAAATCAGTTCCCTTATTCTGACATTGTTGTTTTACTGTGCTTTGTGTATAGCAGTTGTCCAGCTGGTCAAGTTATTGGTCGTTTAATAATTAACCAAAAATAAGCAAACATAAATACAGTCAGGAAGCCTAAAAATTAGAATGATAATAAACACATCAAAAACCTTCTATTACAAAGGTTTACGCAAAGGCTTTAACTGTGTATATTATTCATATTATAATGTATTATATGAGTTGAAAATAATAATATAACCTCCCTATTCTTTGAGATTTTTGAAACATGCATGTATATCTTTGTCTTTATATTATATTATAATATATTTAATTAACCGAATACTAGTCTTGCTTAATTATGCATTTCTGGTGTACAGATCATAGATCAGTGACTTAAATCACTTTTGTTTCTGTTAATTCAGCCATAACCATACCTTCTCTGGCTGTGACTCACACTGCCTTAAAAAAAATAGTTTTAATTTTCAATTAGAAGTTTTTATCTCCTGCTTTGTAACTTGATCTTTACTCACACACAGGAGGCTCATGCAAGGTCTAGCAGGCTATTGAGTAGGAGATAAGAAATTCTAAATGAAAGTGAATTTGCAAAAAATGAAGTGTAAACATTAGATGACTCTGTACAGGAAGTGTTTAAGAAAACTGTGGAAGTCACATGCAGGGAGGTGTGACTAGGACTGTATAAACAAATTGATATAACTCATAATGGCAGATAATTAAGCAGTGAGACTGCAGGGACATGATCTATACAGCAAAACTGTTTCATTAAGCTAAAGTCATTTTGGTGGCTATATTGTCCCTTTAAAGGGCATTTGTTTTTATAATTTATTCTTCCGAGTTTGATATGCACACATATTAAATAAACACTTCTTCCCCCGTAACAACGTCCGTTTAATGAAGCTGTTATGGGATCAGGAGTCAAGTTGATCCCGCGGCATCCGGCACTTCTTCCTATTCTGTTCCTTTTTTATGCCAGCCGCAGTGATTTTGAATGTTTGCTGGGAGAGAAATAGTATAGCAAAAATGTTGGGCTCTTGGGGACCACTTCAAAGTTACATATATATAAAACGGTTCCATCTCTCAAGGTAAGGCAGCGCCAGACATTCTTGCCCCCTTAGCGATTTCATTGAGCTAAAGTTATTATGGGGTGGGTGTATTCCTTTAATATGTTTGTATATCAAACTCAGAAAAAAAGATGTTAAAAATATTTGCTTTGTAACTTAGTTATCTCAAGACAGCCAGCTTTCCTCTGCCATGCTCAAAATCCAGGCCAGTTTAAAAATGAAGACTAAGATTCTGGTCTCTTATCATCATCATAAATTGTACAAGAGCCTATCCTCTTACTATAACCAGAATATGCAGTTATTTATAATTTTTAGTACATAAAACACCATTTCTTCATTTTTTAAATACATACGTATTAAATTACGCCGTCATACTATTCCACAAAAGGTTCTCTCATTTACCCATTTTAAAATAGTTCACATCTAATTCACCAAGGAAATCGGAAATCAAAGGGACGCCTTAAATTGGCAGATTAAGTCTCGTTTAAGTTTGGTAAATGCAAACATTTGTTTTATAGAAATACCTATTAATTTACCCTCTTATATTGTGATCCTTTTTTTTTTTTTAACTGAGAACTCAGGTGGAGTAATGGTTCACCATATTTCTTTGTGTCCTTAAGAGTCATCCATAGCCCTCTGTAATTTCAAGCATTTTCTACTCAGTGGATGTTCAACAAATAATTATGTTTATTAAACAAACATCAGCCTATAGTCACCATTTCTATACAACATATGCCACAGCATTAAAACATGCCCCCTAATGGCTGCTATAATCTAATGTATTAACATTTATACTCTTAAAGAACTGTCTAAGCAATACAAAGGGAATATGCCAATGGGCACAACTTGCTTTGGTGTGTAAGAATGCCAGCATGCACTCATTTTAAAAGGAGTGATATTAATAACCAACACAACATTTTAAGATCCTACATATATCACATCTCATGTATACAAACCTCATTGCATATTTGAGAATAATGACATCACAAATATTTATGTAGATATAAATAACAGAGATTTTAGTATCTCCACTACAACAGCCATTAAAGTGTACGCACATATGCCAAAACCAAGACCAACCTGTTAGGTGAGTCCTATACTAACAATTCACCTTGCTCCTTTCACGGCCATGTCAAAGTTCTACTACCCTGTGCGTCCTATTAAGGATTAATTCGATTGTATTGGTTCAGATAAGTATATTTTTATCTCAATAAAAATGTTGCCTTCCAGCTGAAAACAGCATGGTAAATACTAAAAAAATCTGTTATTTAATTGTGCATAGGGATTTGCGGTGGTGCTTTTTTTTGTTTTCATTCTATATTTAGGCTGAGAAATATTACATCCATTGTTGCTGTCCAGGAGTAATGGGAGTCTGAGTGCAGGGATTATTGCTGTGTAATTTTAACATCACAAATGTCGTTTATGTTCATAAATGACAAACACATGGAAAATAAAAGTCAAGTATATAATCGGTTAATACTATAGTATAATACAATTGTAGTGTATATTTGAAATCAGCAATGTTAAACTTGTCTATAGTGTTTGTACAGAAGCAAACTTGGAGTTTCTTTGGCAAGCCTGTGTGCAGTTCTCCTTGGAAAGCAGCCATTTCTCTGATTACAGAGGCCCAGCCTTCTGCCAGCTTCTCAGAACTACTGAGCCATGGTTTCTTGAGGTCAAGGGCTGCGCGCCTTATCAGCAGGAAAGGAAATACAGAGATCTACGTCTTATGTTGAAATACTATAAATAACTATTTGGGTTTATACATAGAGCAGTTCAATCAATTAGAACTTTCTGCTTTCCTATCAACACATTTCAAAACCCCCAGCATGTGTTACATAGTACTTAGGTTGTTTTTTGCCAAGAAAAAAAAGATATAGATTGTAAGAAACCAACACTGAGAACAGAAAAAAACTTAAAGGGACAATAGGAAGTGGTTATGGTAGTAAGACACAGTCTCTGAAATCTTATGCTTCATTTTTTGTCTTTGTGGCAAAACAGAGTTTAAAACAGAACTCAGAGATCCGCCTACAAAACCTGTCAATCAGAGAGTCAGGAATTAACACTTCATAGTTCTCACATACAGTGTGTGCTGACATGGAGGACTTTACAGAGTTTCTTCCTGTCTACACCTGAAACCTGATTCTCTAAACAGTGCATCAAAGGAAACTTTAAAGGTTAGTAATTTTATTTATATGCTTTTCTTGCAGTATTTTCTAATGCATTATCTATATAACACATTATAAATTTGTTATATTGACACTGTAGTTTCCCTTTGATAGAAACTCCTGTTAGTCTCCCAATAGTGATGTCCCAAACTGTTCGCCGAACGGTTCAACACGGACTCATCATTGAGTAAACTTTGACCCTGTACCTCACAGTCGGCAGACACATTCCAGCCAATCAGCAGCAGACCCTCCCTCCCAGACCCTCCCACCTCCTGGACAGCATCCATTGTGAAGGTGCATTCTTAGTGAGCTGTCCAGGAGGTGGGAGGGTCTGGGAGGGAGGGTCTGCTGCTGATTGGCTGGAATGAGTCTGCTGACTGTGAGGTACAGGGTCAAAGTTTACTCAATGATGAGTCCGTGGCGAACCGTTCGTGGCGAACCGTTCGTGGCGAACCGTTCGCGAACCGTTCGGCGAACAGTTCGGGACATCACGATCTCCCAATAATTAGAAAGGTTACATCTGTAATGGCACAAGTGTGAGGCCTTTGAGAAGATGTACTTACTGGACATCCGTTTTAAGCTTTTATTCATTTAACTGTGTGAGTGAACAGAACTGTAAATATTCCCTGGTCTGCTCAAACTCAAGGAATCTCTGCTTGTTATTTATTTTATTTTTTTAACCTCTGGTACAATATACGTATGCAATGTGCACAACAAAGTAAATAACAAGGACAGCAATCAGACTTTACCCGTGTCGATGGTTATATGAAAGAAATAATAATCCTTAGTTATACAAACCAAGCCCATAAAAATCCCCAGTTATGCAAACTAAGAAACAGAATGCCTAGTTAAAGGAACACTCTAAGCATCAGATGTCCTAATTTACACACCTCCCAACTTTAGGGGGAATGGGATCGGAACCAGGTGGACAGGCCCTCGGGGTGGTAGTGATGAAACTTGTGTTCCTTGCGATGCCAAACATTGGAGGACTTTTTTCATTGACTGAGAGCAATAGCTGAGCACTCTCAGCAAATTAATGAGTTCCTGAATCAACTGATATCTGGTTTCTCCTGCTGGAGATAATAGAAAGCAGAGCTAGAGTCCAGGTAAGTATCAAGCTGTGGACCTATCAAATATGAAAATTTACATTCTGAAATACATACTAAACCATAGTCTGTCAGTTATAAAATCTAGCTCTCTGCAGTAATATTTCATATTAATTATTACTATGATTTATATCAGTGGTAGTCAGCCTTTTTCTTCCTACTGCCAACTAATGCATCTTTCTTGATAGAAAAATGTCCTTACCGCCCACCAGTTTTCGCGCAAGTGCAGAATATTTTTTAGAAAGGAGGGCGTTTAAAAAAATAAATAAATGTATGTACATTTATCTTTTTATTTCTAGTTAATGCATGTTTATAATGTTTTTAACTGTATAAAGTTTAATGAGAAAACAATAAAGTAAATTGAAATTACATTTACTAGTGATTAATGAGATCCTTGAGGTTGATGCTGCGAGACTAAATATTTGATATCTGGTTCGATTTTCGTAAGGAACAAACGAAGGTCTCCTCTTTCGGTGATATACAGACGACTTCTTTGTTTGCGCATAATATGATTTCTTATCTGTGCGTCAGCTCATCTCCTCTTCCTCCTCAATTCCCCTCCCCACCTTTTTTTTCCTTTTTTCTATTTTTTAACCTTACTTATAGCAATGCCCAGTAGGAAGGCTGAGCTAGGTAACCCACTTACTATAGCCCACTATAACAGACAGGCACACATACAAGACACACATACAGACACACACAAGACACACATACAAAGACACATACATACAAACAGACAGGCACACACATACATACAGACACACAGGCAGGCACACATACACACATACGACACATACATACAAACAGACAGGCACACATACACACACACACGTCACATACATACATACAAACATACACACAGACACACACATAAGACATACATACAAAGACACACACACACAAGACACACATACATACAAAGACACATACACACACAACACATACATACAAAGACAAGACATACATACACACACAAAAGACATACATACAAAGACACATACATAAGACACATATACATACAAAGACACATACACACATACAGACACACACAAGACATACATACAAAGACACACACACACACACAAGACATACACACACAAACAAACACATACATTATATTTCAGTCACCCTCCTGTTTCCTACCTTTAAGGTGCAGGAGGGTAACTTTCCCTGGGGTCCAGTGGTGGCACAGGTGGATGGGAGTCAGAGTTCCCACTCTGACTCCCTCCGCTTCCTCCCGCACGGCTCTCAGTGTTAGCTGGGAGGAGTGACGTGCAGTCACTTTCTCCCAGCTCTGTGTTATATAATCACAGATCACAGGGGGCCCGGTCGTGCTGTTAAAGCGCCCAGCGCTAACCAGGCCCCCTCACAATCCACATTCATCGGGGTGCCCTGACAGCATGGGCCACCCGATGGACCCCTTGGACGGGGCCGCAAATGGTGATGGCGGTACCCAGTCGCAGGGGTATCGCCGGCTCGCACCCGCCCGCCCACCCAATCTCTCCAAATGAGGAAATCCCTACCGCCCACCTGGAATCCTGAAACGCTCACTAGTGGGCGGTAGGGACCAGGTTGACGACCCATGATTTATATTAATAGCATGTGTTAATTTAGAGCTATGGAGACATCTCACCGATCTCTCTGTCCCGTGTTATATAATGTGTAACACCATGTGCAGTCTATCTGAGCTGCAGCGTGACTAAATGCTGCCTTTGCACGGACAGCCTGTATTTATTGTACATCACCATAGAAATGTTTTTGCAACATTATGACCCTATTCCTTATTACGTAAAATAAAATACACCTACTTTCCAAAAATTAACCAATTTGCAATTACATTGTTATTTTAATGCTTTAAATTTATCCAAAATCCAAGTAGCCAATTATATGTTTGGGGATTTGGGGATTTTATGTTATTTTTTTTTAAAGTAAATCTAATTAAAGATATCCAAGGGCATTGGGTTATGAGTCATTTTAAGGGATTTGCATTGTTCTTTTAACATCCTCTTAGTTCCCATTCCAAATAATTAGCTTGTTTAAGATATAAACAGTGTAACACAAAAACAAAAACAATCTGGAACATGTTATGTTATCCAGTGCGTAATCAGTGCTTTGTACATTTCTTTATTCGTTATGACTCAAGATTATAATAGTAAACAATGGTGGACAGCCATCTGCACTCATGAAAAGAACAAAGGAACTCCCAAACTGCAGACTTCCGATAAAAATTAGCCAGACCAGCAATGACAAAATAAACAAGATTTAAAAAAATGGAAATGTAGACTCTCTGAAAAATAAATATTGTTTATAATTGTGTGGACTGTATTGCAGAGTAATTGTAGAAGAAGAAATGTGTGTCAATGTATTTGTCAGTGTACACTTCTATAGATGTACTATGCAATAACCACCAATGTCACTTATTTATTGCACATTATGTATTCTGGCCCTCATTGTCTATCCATAGTAATTCACAAACCGAGGATACCGCACTCACACTTGGGAATCCAGGTGCTTATCAGGGAAGTGGTTGGCAAAACTCAGCTTAGTAGATAAAATAAATTAAGTCCAGGCACTCAGGATTGCTTCAGGAAGGCAGGTTTATTGTAACAAAAACTGCAACGTCTTGGCCTACATAGAGGCCTTTATCAAGTTGATAAAGGCCTCTGTGTAGGTCGAAATATTGCAGTTACCTAATTTATTTTATCTCATTGTCTATCCAGACAGGAATTGTCACGTCATGCCCATCCAGTGGTGACAACAGAAAAAGGTGAAGGTTCTAGAATGGCCATTACAGTCTCCTGACCTTAATATTATTATGATTATTATTTTATTATTTATATAGTGCCTGCAAATTCTATAGCGCTGTACAATGGGTGGACTAACAGACACGTAATTGTAAACAGACAAATGGAAGCACAGGAACAGAGGGATTGAGGGCCCTGCTCAATGAGCTTCCATGCTAGAGAGAGTGGGGTAGAGTGACACAGAAGGTATAAGTAGGGGTAATGAAATAGGTTGGTAGAAAATTATTAGGTTATTTTTGACAGTTGCAGGAGAGGAGTCATGGAGGGGATTGAATGAAAACCCGCTAGCAGTTTAAATTATATGCTTTCCTGAAGATGTGTGTTTTCAAAGATTTTTTGAAGGAGTGGAGACTGGGTGAAAGTCTAACAGAGAAGGGAAGGGAGTTCCACAGAAAAGGTGCAACCCTGAAGAAGTCTTGGAGGCGAGCATCAGATGTGGGAGTACAGACAGAGGATATATTGAGGGGCCTCAACGGGACATATTTGTGTATTAGGGAGGATAGGTAGGTTGAAGCAGCATTATGTAGGGACATGTAAGTTAGCACCAGAATCTTAAATTGAGCCCTATATCTAACTGGAAGCCAATGTAGGGACTGACAGAGGGTGGAGGTGGGGGCGGATAGGAAAATGAGCCTTGCCGCTGCACTCATTATAGATTGCAGTGGTGCAATCTAGGAACACGGAAGACCAGTGAGAAGGGGATTGCAGTAGTCAAGGCGAGAAAGAACAATGGCATGTTAAATAGGGGAGGATGCAAGCTATGTTTTTGAGATGGAAGTGGCAGGATTTGGCAATCGACTAGAAATGAGGGGTTAAGGAGAGGTTGGAGTCGAAGAGAACACCTAGGCAGCGAGCCTGTGAGGTAGAGGTGGAAGGAGACAGACACGAAAGTAGCAACACAAGACCAGAAGTTCTGTTTTGGACAGGTTGAGTTTAAGGAAGTGAGCAGCCATGCAGTTGTAAATTGCAGAGAGGCAGTCAGAGACACGAATCAAGATGAGCGCTGGGAGAGGTAGGAGGAGCACCAGGAGAGGGCAGTATCTTGTAGAATGAGCAGAAGCTTTTGATGATCAACAGTGTCAAAGGCAGCAGAAAGATCAAGGAGAATTTTGCTAAGGTGAATGGGCAGCTATACCACCTGCATGAATTACTGACCTCATAGACAACCATTACAAAAGACTGCTCGCTGTCATTGATGCTAAAAGGGGCAATACACAGTATTAAGAACCAAGGGTATGCAGAGGATTTTGTTCTATGATTGTGCCATTCTGTTATAATCTACAGTTTAATATGAATCACGTAAGAAATAAAAGAAATGTGTTTTGCCTGCGTACGTTTCTTTAAAGATGGTACATATATTACCAATTCTCCAAGTGTATGCAAACTTTTGAGCACAACTGTACTTGGCATCTACCATATTGGACCCACAACCAAAACCCTCCTGAAAGATTCTCCATCATTGG